AAAAGGTACACAACCAAACAGCCAACAGATGCAGCCACACAATAGTCAGTCAATCAGATTCTTTGACCATTCAGCTTAATAGTAGCAATTTGTATGACAAGTGCATTTTGGAAATCTATATGACAGTGCAGTGCACACGGAAGAAGACAACCAATGCTGTGTGTTTTGTCCTTTCCAAATGGTACATTTGTGTTGTAATGTTGCAGCAATGGTGTGAGTAATTGCAGTTGTTGCTTTGGCCAAATCGCAGCCTCCATCCATCCAAGCCCCCAGGTTCTATTTCTTCAGGTATACAAAACGAGATCAACTTCCTTAGTTCCTCCCAACAAAGTGGTCCTGTAATTGATCTCCACTTTGCTGATAGGCTTAAACATGTACAAAATCCACAGCCCTATCAGAATTCCAACACCTCATCGGTCATGCGAGATGCTTAGCTGGACCGTGTCGAATTTGCCAAGCCATCGGCTGTATCCCGTAATTTCATTTTTATACAGAATTCTAGCATATATTGATTTATCTATGCACAAGTGAGTTACCCAATTGTTAAGGTTGCTGCTGACACATACAATCCGGTAGAGGGTTCTCGTAAAATACTTCTTCGGACCGAAACCTCTCTATGCCCCTCGTGCCAGGAATAGGACCTTTCCTTTTGCGGGCAGAACCTCGCCTGTCATATCGAAAAATGAAAGATAAAGTATGGCAATATTAAACAAAAGGAAAGAAGCAAGTATTATGCTCACACTGTCACCTACCGTCTTCTATGAATCTCTGTGATGATATTTGACAGCTTCTTCCCTTCTTTTAGAGATCCTTGGTTGATCATATCAAACAGATGAACAAGAGCTTTTCTACATACATAAAGGTAGCAGACAAAAAGGTTTAATAAGCTCAAAAGCCTTTCACCGGTAAGGAGGGAAATACCAACATTACCTGTCAGGATTAATAGTTTTCCGGTGACCAAGGAAACGGCGATGACCCTCAACTGCCCTTGCCATATTCCCTGAGTATGATGGGATAAAGACGTCGCTTTCCACTGATACAATGTAGTCTAATGCTGCCATTTGAGATGCATAATCTTTGAAAGGTCCAAGCTCTTCAGCTGATGCTAGTTTCTCCTGCGATTAAGTCCACAATTTAAGACTGTATAAAGCCAAGATCAAGTCACAGGGATGTGTTTCAGACATTGATGGGCATCAGGCCATGAATCATGACCCAGCATATACTGATAAGCAATGGAGATGAATGGAGCACTTTCTGAAGACAGTAAATCTGACAGCAGCATATCAGACAACAATCTATCAATTAAGAGTGATGTTTCTGGTTCCTGATTGTTCCTGTACATTATTGTGGTTCTTAGATCATTTTATAGTTGTAGGCATCTAATTATCGGATGTGATTGGTGTCATAAGGAGATCCAGGCAACTTTTTTCCTTCTTTGAACTTTGACAAGATAAAATATGTTACTGCCGAAGTTGATGATAAAGGTCTAGTACTGAAGCTAGAACTAAGTAGAACAAGGTTGATGCAGTCAAATACTCAATAAACTTCATAACTGATATTAAAGAAATCTAAACAATCTTTCCAAAAGGAGATTAAGCAAATAATCAAAATCTTTATCTAGGAGGCATTGTTAAAAATCTAAACAACTTCCACAACTTACATTCATTTGCAATGGCAACTTTGGAATCAAGTAACAAATGATTTTCATGAAATAATGTTTTGAATCTGTGGTTGGGGGTGTCTACACTATATATTATTCTTCATGCTTACATCACAAAAAAAGATGTATTCTCAGTGAAATACCACAAAAATAGAGTTAAACTAAAGCATATTTCATCAGAAATAAAAACTAACATCCACAATATGCTGCCTATTGTCCATTGCAGTCATTCATTTAATACCTTGCTCAATAAAATGGGAAAACGAGAATGTAGATCAGCCAAATGAGAGTCCCCTCCATATATTGCTCCAGCTGCAATGTATATTGGAGTATTTGATGGATATCCTAGAGAAGAAAGAAAGATCCCAACTTCCTTTGGGGTCAATGGGCAATATCCTTTGTCCCTTTGTTCTTGTGAATCTATTTCTTTGACCTTCCAATAGGAAATATTTTCTCTGCAGAATAGGGAAGAAACGTTTTAATGCCATACAACAAGAGTTTGTCTTCTACTCCCAACATCCAGAACTTTATTTTGTCAAGTCTCAACAGCAATACCTAATCCTTGCCAATTCATCAGATTCCGCAGGTGTCAAGCCATACGTACACCCACTAAAAGCAAGCATGTCCTTCTCATAACGTAAGTGCAAAGTGATATAACGACCATAAGACCTCATTCTCTCCACCAACAACTACAGAATAAAAAGCATAAAAAATTGATGATTGTATACGGACAGTTATCAAAAAGCAGAAAACAGAGCATTAAAGGCTAGTACTTTTCCTAGAGCCTCAATCTGTGGAGAAAATTTGAGAGCCTCATAAAAAGCACGGCAACGAAGTTTCTGAATGTCAGAAGGAAGGTTATTATTTGCAAGACGTGAATCTGACTTAGCAGCTTTGATAACCTGCCGGCAAAAGCATTTCAATTAGAAACATTAGCATCGCTGAATCTTGATAGAAGGATAGAAATGAACTTCCGTGTTCCAGCAAATATACCTCGTAATTATCCCACTTGCGTGATATCTCATCTTGGTAGTAGTCCAGTCCTGACCAGCTTCGGAAATGTATTACTGCTTTTGCAGTTGTCATCAATTCTTTAGGAAGTTTCTTTACAATTTTAACATCATTGGCCAAGGTGCGGATAAAATGTTCTTCATCAAACACATCGGAGAAATTGCTGACATATATTCATGAAAAGTATCAGACGACATCTAAGCACATGGAAATTCATCATGAACAACATAAAAAAATAGCAGTATTTATGAAAATTGAAGCTATAACTTTGTTGGGCACAAAGAACATGGACCAGTGTCGAACATGGCACATGACAGTGGCATCTAATTATGAGAACTTACACGAACTTTGGCAACATGCATGAGAAATGGATATTAGCGAGTATACAATGTGAGTTTTATCTACAGCATCTACATAGGTCTAGTCCTGCCAAAGCATAAAAGGGGAAAATAAAAAAAGCAACTTTTACCTAGAATCTTGCCAAAATGATCTCTTATCAAGTTGAGGAATAACAAGTGTAGCATTGATCAATCGTGCAACAGCTACCATGTCACATATCTGCCATTCCAAATGATGGTTCTTATGAGGTTTCGACCAGTCATGAATGAATAAATACAGAAAAGATAGACTTCATAAGTTATATGTGATGAGGCAAAAAGCTTTCTATCAAGGCTACATTTCGAAGCCATGTAAGCTGTTATGCTATGGCCAACATTATTAAAAGAAAAAGGATACACAACAAAGAATCTCACTGAATGCATTCAAAAGAATTAACAAACAGAATTTAAATTAGATGTCCATCATATCACGAAATTATAAGATCTCTTCATGCTAAGAAGCATATTTGCTTGGGGCTAAGTGCCTGGAAAAACAAGGGTAGTCTGTGACTGCAGTTCAATCTAGATTCAGGAGCTAGTAACCTATTACATGAGTCTTTTCTCACAATAGTTCTTCTTTAAACAGCTTTAAATCCAATAAATATCAGTAGCTACGACCTTTTTATTTAATCATCAATTAGATTTAAAAACTAACATGGTTCCAGGGCTGTTATATGTTAGGATGGATAAGTAACTCGGGCCATTTGTGTCATTGGTCATACCTTAAGTTACTAGCACACTGTTGAGCATGTATACAAGAATTCAAGTAATGTGACATGAAGCATAAACAATGACATGAAGATTTAAGTGATGTGGTGCCACCAGATTCAGTTGAGTCTTTATCCCCACTAGTAAAGAATCATGACTCTCTTTTCTTATAGAAGTGGCATAAGGTATTCCTTCCCTTAGAATAATGACTCGATTGTGTCACAGGATAGCTTTAGTGACACCTCTTCTTACTGTTCTTGGTTTTTTGGAGCAATTTAGCATAGCATTGCCTAGCTGTTGCATCTCGTTAATATTGGCATGACAGTTATTTGAATTGAATTATTTTGAAAGTTCTAGTAATGACTAGTTCTTTAAAAATGAAGAATATATGACTAGTGATCCCACATCTAATAAATTGGATATTGAGATTTGAACGAGGCAAGCAAAAAGGACTAGGTAGGGGGCATGAAACTGCATGTAGGATACCAATTAGGCTGACATCAAGATCTCTTTTCAAGCCATCATTTTCTAAAGATTGGGTGGGTTCACTTCTGCTGCTATGTCAAACATAGGCAGGTTTGCATCAGGTCCCCAATGAAAGCCAACAACAAAATACCCAGTTGAGAGAAAGCAACCACTACATACCCCAGCCCGCATTTGGTTTAGCCCCCCATTGGCATGAACTAGCAAGTAGCCCCTTGACCGCGTTGGAGCTGCAAAAATATCACGTTGACAAAAAAGGTTGGTAAATCACAAGATGATAGCAAGAAAATATGCAGCTAAGAGACCAAGAAATCGACAAGTAGTGTTCTCTCACGAAGATAAGAAGAGCTGGGAGCCACACAGGGCACAAAATAACGATTCGAAGGAGGCTTCCACAGCTTCTCGAAACCGGAATCTCCCTCCCTCACGCTGCCCACCTGCCAGATATGGAGGAAACGAGATCAACAAAATAGACGGCAACACTATCTTCGCCATAGAGCACCGTCATACATCAAAATATCAAGAAAAAGATATTACAAGAACACGACAATCTGCTAACAACAGATGCAAACCAACATTCTGGAAAATGTGGTACGGGATCACCTTCTGAGTGGAAATCTTAAGCTTGGCAAGTTGGGGTGGCGCGATCTCCTGCGTCCAGCTGAGTTCGCTCGCCTTTCGCCGGTATCCCACCTCACGTTGCTAAACGAAAACACACCACCAAACTCAAATCGTATCACATGATGTGGGCAACAAGAAGGGTCAGCAAACCCAAGCCCCAAAATCTTTTTCCTCGTGAGGATCATATCCATCGGAGATTGATTAAAGAACAAGCAAATCCGTGCCCAAATAATAACGGGCATGGGGATAGCAAAGATTACAAGAAACGAATCAAGAAAATGTCAACTTTTTAGACCTAGATCACCTTCCAAGAATCAAGAAAGCCAGACATGTAGGAAAGAAGACATCTTTAAGGCGGAGAAGCACAAAAACAATGAAAGGGAAAGAGAAGAGAAGAAACAGAAGAGGAGGAGGAGGAGATGCCTTGGTGAGCTTGAAGGCGTCGGGGACGGCGGCGGAGGGCAGGAGGAACACGTGGACGGCCACGAGCGCGCCGACGGCGATGGCGCCGATGGCGCAGGTCAGGGCCCACCGCAGGGCCCAGAGTCCGGCCGGCGTCGACCTGCGCCGCTGCATCCTGCCCGTTTTCCCTTGTCACTCGCTCTGGTCCTGCTCTGCGTGCCACTTTATAAAGGAAGGGGGAAGGCAGAGGAGAAAACAAAGAAACCAACAGAGAAAGAAGGAAGGAAATGTGGATGAATGGGATAGAGTGCGTGAGAGAGAGAGAGAGAGAGAGATAGAGAGAGAGAGAGAGAGAGAGAGGAGAAGAGAGGCTTTCCAACTGTCCTTCTTCCAGTGCCAGCACCGCCACACTGCCGTTCCCACTGTGCCCCTCCCTCCCCCCGCTTCTATTCCCATAGTAGCCCCTCCCCTGTTCTCCCAAATCGGCACCAGCCATCGAACGCAGTAAAAAAAAATGGCATCTTAATACCCAACATTTATGACTATATCGACGTAACATCAAGAAACCTGTGCAATTTCTATGCCTTCCCTTTTCTCTTGCTTTTGTTTCCACCTTATTTTGCTCCCACTGTTTGATCATTCTTACTGTAGCTATATTTGCGGTGAGTTTCTGCATTGCTATCTCCCATCCATCATATACATTCATATAAAAAATTGGATATACTACAACATAAATTTCTTGATAACACCAAAGCTTGTCACTAAAGCAAGCTTCTTGAAGGATCAAAAACAAAACTTTCATGCTCCTCGGAACCTGATCACTGAAATCAGGGCTTTGCAGCACCGGAAGTCAAAACTCTTCCACCTTGGCTTTCTCAATCATCTATTATGGCTGTGTGGTGTTGGGACAATAGGAACAATGTGGAGGGTTAATGAGGCATGAGGATGGCTGCATGTCGAGGTAGATCTCAGCATAAAGGACAACATCTAGGCATTAATTATCGGTTTAGGTGAGTAATCTGTCTGAGAAAGATCTTGCCTGTCTTACAAGCAAGATGAAGCAGCAGCAGATCTCATACTTTGTTTATCTGAGATCTCCAGTTCATGAATGTGGCCTTCTGCTGCAGGAGATGGGGACACTTTTCAGACCAACCATCAATTTAGATAGACTACCCAGTGGATGAGCATCCTGATCTCGGATGGAAATCAGCTCAACAATTTATCTCTTCTTCTACATGAAGCATTTTTTATCTTCTTAATCACCAGGTTATTACAGGGAATGTTAGATTGGCTGCATTTAGACGAATGGTCCGAGGATGCAGAATATGAATGCATAGCAAAAAAGCTACCCATATAATTTGCTTATATTTTCTGATGCATCAGTAGCAGATCACAGATGGACACATTTATTTTGTTTGACCCCATTGGTCAAGAATCTATGACTTGCAGATAGCAAAGGCTGACTTTATTATCCTTTACATGCACTATATTTTTTTCCTGACAGATGATTGACTATCCAAGGTTGGAGGCTGGGTCAGCATTCTTACAAAAAGTAATGAACACATCCCAGGAATACAATGAGATAAGTGCTACATTCTTTCTTCACTTTACTTGCTAAGGAATTTTAGTGTGATAAATGAAGAATATTTATATGATTGTCCAAGCAAGCAAGTGTGACAGAGAGTATGTTGGTGTCTGAGGACTCAGCTTGCATTAGCACTAGTGGCCAGTGATGCTACCATACATGCAAGTGTAAGAGTTGGCTGTATTGTTTTCAAAGGAAGAAGACAATGCAAGTTTTGGTCTTCACTTTACAAGCAGGAGGACAGGTGAGAGCTACAGCCACTGTGATCGACTTATGTCCAAGTCAGGATTAAGCTTATTATATGTTGTTTAATGTATGCTGAAGCTGTGTACTTGGGAAGATGAGATGTCATTTTGGTGGAATTTATTTGGTCCCATTGAACTGGTTGTTGCCAGTGTCAATCACCTCATCCTCAATCTCTCTTATCTCTCATATCAAGAACTGTAATCTATTATTAGATCTTTCGTGTATTTTGTCTTTGTCTTATCCCTAAATAACCCTTCCTGCAACAGAAGACGATTCGAAGAAGGCAAGATGATGAGGGGAAGTGATTCCTTGCTTCTGCTGTATTGCTCTGCTGCACAACTCTCGTGACATCTCATTCCAAATTGCGCCAGCGGGGAAAGCCTTCATGTGACACGAGGATAAAAGAGAGAGAGAGAA